TAACGAGCTACACTAAAAAAACGGAAGAAGTATAAAAAAGATATTGGAAAATATTAACCAATGTTAGACCGCTATCAACCTCCTAATTAGCATCCTAATTAACCTCCTAATTAACATCACAACCACCGTCATATAACAATTCGCGTTTCGGTTTTTTTTTATTTATTCATTCAATAATACTTCGTTTGAAAACTTGAATTGAGGCATTCATTTCAGCCAACACAAAGAAAACATCATTTTTGGAACGAAATTTCCAGCTATGAACTTTAGTCATGTAGGACGGTTTCCACTAAGGAAAAGGTTTGCAAATGCACAAAGAAACATATCAAGCACGTACGCAAACATAAAAACATTCCCCTTCGTGGTGTTTTTCATTCAAAACTTCAACCAAACAAACCACACGCGCGCACACCAATTACACGTGCACTTAATAACAGATGTAACACTTTTGTTTACTCAGTTTTTAGGCCCTAAAAATACATTCACACGCACATATATAAAACAAACAAATAAACAAATATTGAATCAGATTTGCAACAGAAACTATACAAACAAACACCCATATACCCACTCAAAACTCACAAACATTCACACGCACTCTTCATTCACAGAACCGCGAACAAAATCACACAGACACGCACAACACAAGACAAACACACAAGCAAAACTCACATACACTATCACAAGAGTGACAAGAGTGTTCACACACAAAAATGTTCACACACACTTGTAATCATACAAACACTCACACGCACGTACACTCACACACACACACATAAAAACACGTGCACACGTACACATTATGGACATTAGAAATCATGATTGAACACACAAGCAAGAGCACGCTCGCTTGTTTGTCTATAAACATTGTACAGGCCACACAAACACTTTGTCACTATTATTATGAAGAATACTTTTTATTATTTATTTATTTATATTATTATTATGATTGTTATTATTATTATGAACATAAATAAATAACTACAACTAATTACACCAACAATAATAATAATTATTATGTTATAATTATTATAAATAGATTAATTCCTGGCAGTGGTCATCGTTATCACCATCCATCAGGGTGGATATCAGTGAAAAGTGGCAAGGTGATGAAAGGAAGATTGTTATAGGAAGGTCCGGCTTTAACTCACTCATTCATTGTAAGTTAAAATACACTACTCTCTCTCTCTTTCTCTCTCTCTTTCTCTCTCTCTCTCTAACTCATTCACCCATTCACACTACAGTCTCTCTCTCTCTTTCTCTCTCTCTTTCTCTCTCTCTAACTCATTCACCCATTCACACTACAGTCTCTCTCTCTCTCTCTCTCTCTCTCTCTCTCTCTCTCTCTCTCTCTCTCATTCTCTCTCTAACTCATTTACTCGTTCATACTACACTTTCTTTTTTTCTCTCTCTCTCTCTCTCTCTCTATCTATCTCTTTTATTTCATTCTATGACGTTCCTCTTCTCCTGTTTCCTCTTTCATTCTATTTCCACTGTCTAAAGTTTCAACATGATAACAAAAACAACAATAATAATATAAATAATAATAATAATATAAAGAATGGAAATAATAATAAAATTATAATTACAATAATAGCAGTAGTGTCGTCGCCAACGTCAGACGTATTAATGAAAGCAACAACAATCGAACCGTGCTACGTCGATAATATATTGATATGAAGATTAAATGAATGAATGAATGAACGAATGAATGAATGAATGAACGAACGAACGAACGAACGAATGAATGAATGAATGTATGTATGTATGTATGTATGTATAAATGAACAAATGAACAAACAAACGAACTAACGAACGAACGAACGAACGAACGAACGAACGTATGAATGTATGAATGTATGAATGAACAAATAAAAAATGGTATGAACGAACGAACGAACTCGCGAATGAACAAACAAAAAAATGGTATGAACTATCAAACGAGCGAACTTGCGGATGAACAAACAAAAATTAATGAATGAAAAAAAACAATATACAAATAAAAATACTAGACAGAATGATTAATAAAAAGAACGACTGAGTGAGCAAATAAAGGAATGAATAAACAAATAGATGGCTGGATGCCAAGGGAAAGTTGATTAATAATTATGAAGTTTGAACTATTGAATGTTGCATCGATCAAGATTCTCTGGCCATTGTACGCTTCCAAACGCCGGCATCAATTACCTATCACGTGACCAACAACAACAACAACAACTAAAATAACACTGACTATCTTTTTTCAACACTAGCGACAACTACCACGATGTTATTTGCAACAGTTGTAACAACATTAACCAACCACTACAACAGTAAACAGCTGCAACTACAACTATATAAATGTCTTTGAAAATAAAAAAACAACAACCGAAACAAAAGCCACAAGTGCAACAACAACAACATTAACAATAACGTTGATTTTATCAATGTTGTTTGAATTTTCTGATTGTTTTTCACCAAAAAATTAATGCCCATTAGTTTACTTCGATTTTAAAGATGTTCAACTTCGTCTTGAGTTCTTAAGGAAAAATCTTGAAAATAAAATCCTCAGCCAGGTTGTCATGTTGAAGGTTTTTGCAGATGTTTTTGTGCATGTGCCGTACATCGATGGCAAGCGAGATGGTATGGGCGAAGTAAAAATGGAAAAGTTTCATATGAATTGGAAGATGCGTAAAAAGGGTACAACGTTTAATTTAAAAGAAGTAATTTGAATTTTTTTTATTGTAATGTCAAAGACATTTATTGTTACTCGTGCAAGGAATTAGACAAATTTTTTTCTTTCCGGTTGTTCACCACAACTCTGTTGCCCACACACAGACCTCCAAATTTTTGCATCACTGCAAGCCATCAACATGAACAACAACTTATAGAATTTCTCCGTTATATTCTCAGATTAAAAAACTCGAACATTTTTTGTACCGGCAACAAAGTTTTGCGTTATTTAAAAATTGACTGCAAAAAATCAGAAGTAAATTTTGTTTTATTGAAGTATCAAAACTGACAGCTTTCTAAGCAAACAACTTGAAGCAGATGAGAACGATGATGCTGCATGTGGGGTCATGCTTCTTTTAAATCTTCTACCTCAATATCTCAACATTTTCAATGACTTCTTTACACAAAAATAAAAACTTTTATATTATTAAAAAGCACAACAAAAAGTAAAAATATTACAAAAGATTTAACTCACAATATCAAACGAGAAGTTCACGCAAACAAACAAACGAACAGTACAACACGGCGAACATTCACATGTCAACACGTTCAAACGCTGCAGACATACACACTACACAACACAATCGCATATAAACACATGTGAGGATCAGCATACAATTATTTAAATGTCAGCATATAATCGTCCACACACACACAGGCACATACAAATATACATTTATACAAAACATTAACTATTAATAAATCTCATTTGGCTCGTCGTTATGGAGAAAAAAATTAAAAATGGAAATTCAAAAAGATGTAACATTTGCTTGCTCACTCGTAGGAACACGTACAAGCGCATGTTCTCACCTAAGCACGTACATGCGCACAACAAGAACAAATAAGCAGGCAGAACACGCACACACACGCACACACTTACGCTAATATATAGCAAATATTGGCATATTGGATAAATATATTGCCGCCTAAATCTGTTTATTCCATTATCAGAAATCTATTGTTCTACAAGTTTGTGTGCGTGTGAATGTACATGTTCGTGTGAATTTATACAAATTTTCCTTATATAGATGCATGTGCACAGGTTTGAATGCCCAAATGTATGTGTGAGTTGTGTTTGCCGCGTTGAATACTTGCTACTGTATTGGCATCATAAAAAAAGTTAAACTATAACAGCTGTCAATGCTGAGAACAGCGATGACAATAAACAGATTGCTGAATGCGTAGAAACTTGCAGGCACACACGTACATATTTAAAATATTTGGAGTGTCGGGAAAGCATAAACAAACGAACACACGCATACGGTTATAAAGACAAACAAATATGCAAATAGATCAACACAAACACACACACACATAAACAAAAAAATTACAAGTAACACACACAAACATTCACACACACACACACAAACATTCACACACACACACACACACACAAACATTCACACACGCACACACCCACACATCAGAGCAGACAAACCCTCATTACAGAAAGCAAAGAAATTGATTGTTTATTGATTGTACTGCAAAGTTAGAAAAATTCTAAAAGCCATTGCCTGCGTGTGCGTATGCATATATGTGCGTACACACATATACTGCGTGTTTGTATGTGCGTGAATGTTTACTCATTCATGCATATATAATTTATTCTATTATCGGCGAAGATATTATACTTATATATACGCACAATTTGCTTTGATATGAATGCAATGTAGTCATTCATACTGTATGTGCACAAATTGTATCAGCCAGCATCAATGTATCCATCTATGCGTGTACAACTTATCAATGAATGCATCGATGCATGCATAATTCACTCGATCATTAATGCATGTTTCGTTTACATGCACCAACATTTCAGCCAGGATCGACTTTTAATCGTATTAACTGTCGCCATGTAAGGTCGTTAATTTTTTAACGAAGTTTTTAATACAATTTGAAGACCATAAAAAGGTAGGGCATTTGCTTCATGGTCCGTCATTTTTTTCTTTATCAATAGTAAAAAAAATATGAAAAATAATTTTAATTAAGTTATAAGACATCGCTTGAGCTTTATAATTTCAAAGTCATAGTAAGCAACTGAAATCCTCCCACAACGTCAGCCAGCAACACACAAACGCGCAATTGTTTTTACATCATTCAACAAACATCACCTCACCTCACACCAGAGCTGGAATTTGCATGTGTGCATCTGCTGCTTGCTCCCCCCCACAACTAATTGCTACCGATGGTAAGATATATTTTCCATTGTCATCGCCAATTTAAGTTATTTATTTACATTTTGTTAGCTTTTCCAAGCTGTTTGAATGCTAAAAAACACATATATACACTTATACACACGCACACAAATATATACACTTACACATAAACACATATATACACACAAACGCATATATACACACATACACACACGCGCACATACTACGCACTCAGTAACAATTTCACTTTATCAGTATAATAACTTTTATCACCATGACAACAATTTAAAAATTGAAGAAATGTATAGTGACATACACAGCAACCCATAGTTGTAGTAGAGTTTGTAAATCCTTGCACAGTAAGAACATCTTGCTCTATGGATGATGCTTTCCCCTGTCTTCCGGATACTCCGTGTTACAAGTTAACATGAAGGATGTGGAATGACAATATATCCAGATGTAAATCCGTATGATTGCTACTGCATTCTATCCGCAACAGGCGTACCTACGTACACAAACACACACTCATTCACACATACACCCATCCATATATAAACATTCAAACACACATACATGCATGCACACATACATATATCCCTGGATGTTTGGTTACTGGTTTGTAGGTTTCATTCAACAAGCTCCGTCCGAGTGGTTTTACTAGTCAATAAATTTATGAGTTATGAATTTATAAATTTATAATTTGTTTAATAATTTGTCCAAATAACTATTTATTTATTTAATCATTCATTCATTTATTTGTCCATTCGTTCACTCATTCATTCCTTCATTCGTCCGCTCATTCATGTTATAAAGTTATGAATAAATAAAACGAAATTGGAGGTGAAAAGCCTTTTATTTATTTCCTTCGAATTGTATAAAAGTGAAAAAAATAAACATGGGCATCAATTATTATTATTACCATTTCTTTATGGTATAATAAAATTTCAATGCCAAGTAATTCTTCAATGAAAAATAAATTAACAACATCAATGGCGTTTGAAATTCTTTTCAGTAACAAACAAAACTCTTGTAACGGCATAATCATCATATTTATGGTCATCATTATATTTATCGTCATCATCTTCATTAAAACCACCATCATCAACATCCATGAAACCACATCATCATCATTATCATAACCACTCTTAAAACCACATCATTATCATCACCGCCACCACTAAAACCACATTACCATCATCTTCATCATCATCACATAATTAAATCCATCATCTCACCATCATCATCATCATCACCGGGACGATAAATTCAAGTGTTCGAAAATGCCCGTCCGAAGATAATGAAGAAGAAGAAAATGATCAAGACAACATCAAAAAACAACTTTAATTTAATTATAAGCGATAGAAATAACCTCCAATTATTACGTGTTGCATATCCTATACATCAAATTATGTATAGGATACATGATGTATGTATGTGTTTGTAAGTGCGTATGTATGTATGTGTGTGTGATGTATGTATTATTAAATTAGCAAACTTGATTGCAAAATATCTGCTCGCTGACGTGATATGATTAATGTGCTTTTTGTGTGTGTGTGTTGTGTTCGTAAACCTGCGTGTGTGTATGTATATGATAAAATATTTGTATGTGTGTGTGTGTGTTTGTGTCTTACATGTGCACCTATGTATGCCTGTTTGTGTGGTATTCGTAGTAAGCGTAGGTAAGCTTGTATGTGTTGGGCAAGTATGTTAGTACGTGAGCTTTTTTGTAATTGTGTATGTATGTATGTGTGTGTGTGCGTATTTGTATGTTTTTGTAGACGATTGTATAGAGAGTGCATAACAAAAGAGAAAAAAGGAGTATGAAAATATAAAAGGAAGAAAATGATGAATTGTTTTTGTTTGATTTTAAATGTTATACAAAATAAATTATTGAAATTATGCGATTGCTTTATACAATACATACGCAACTATAACGTTAAATCATTGAATAATTATAATAGATTATTATAACTAATATGTTTTAAACTTCAGATTTGTGTACTATTTCCTTTATAATACTTGTATTGTATAATATATACTTGAGCGTATTTTGTACGTATGTATGTATGTATGTATATTTTCTAACGTTTCGCATATACAATTAAATATACTGAAGTTTAACCACATTAAGCTGATGTTAAATCACATTAAGCTAATAATTCGTTAATTAATTAATTAATTAATGAATGAATGAATGAATGAATTAATTAATTAATACAAGTCTACAGGCATCGTAACTAGGCAAATAAAAACATGCATTATCGTGCATGCTACTGAAAAATTTTGATCTGGTAAAATTTTTCATCTAGTACGTATAGTGTAAAATGCGAAAGTTAAGTTTCCTCTGTGTATTCGTCCGTCTATAAATTCGTATAATTGCATTTGCATGTGCAGTATAAAGCTAGGTATTCTACACACTACAGACACGCGTATTGGTATAAATTTGAAATGAAATACACTCATGCGTATGCATGTATCTACGTACAAGTTCGTCTACGTGTGTACTTCATTAGAGTTGACACTTACATGTGCCGAGTGTATTTTGGCATTTGAAAGTCAAACAAATTTGAAGCCCCTACATTTCATACATGTACATAAATATAAACATACATGTGTGTACGTGTACAAAATGTATTGTATACATTCGCATATGTATAAATACACATATACGATGTATAATATGATGATCTATATAACTAACTAGCGAACTATGCTAATGAAAGCCAAAATGAGGAAAAGAGAAAAGGATTTGAAATTGGCAGATTTTGTTCTGAGAAAGTTGAGGCGATGGGAACGAATGGAACAAACTTGCAAACGTGCCTTCCGTAAAAAGACGAAAAAAAACAATAAATTACATTAATAATAATAATAATAATTTATAACAACAAAATCAACAACACACAAGTAACATCGTTATCAATGGACGATCGTCCTGCCAATCCAACTTCGTCAAGCAGCAAAAGCAACAACAACAACAGGAAAACATGAATAACATTAACAACGACAACAACATCACGAAAAACAACAATGAAGATTTGGGAACTGAAAAATGCCAATGAAAAATGCATGACATACAGGGAAGCAGGATGAACATAACATAATTGCTACTCAACTTCCAACTCAAAAATCCCAAACCACGACCAACAAATAGTTTAAACAAGGGATAAATCCACACATACCGACAGACAGAGTGACGGACAAATAGACAAACAAACAGACAGACAGACAGAGACATAGACAAACAAACATTCGAAAACAATGAAAAATTAATACAAAAAAATAATAAAAAAACTCAACATAAAAAATGAAGATACAACTGAAACAACAAATGAAACAACAAATGAAACGACAAACACACGTAAATAATAATAAAACACAAAAACACACATAGACAGACGTAGAAACGCATAAATCAATGATACCAGCCCAAATGTGTGGGGATAGACAATCATTTTATTCAATTAAACAAAACAAAGACATACATGCATACATGAACATTCTCAAGGATTACGAATAAAAGGAATAAAAATATAAACAGCAACACATACACACACACACACACACGCACACACACACACACACATCACATGCGCATACACACAAACAAACATACACACGAAATACATACGCATCTTCATCTCATTTTTTTTGTAAGAGATTCGTTGTAAATGACTAGCAGAGCAAGAAATCACAGGCAAATGTAAAAATGTATAATATATATATATATGTGTGTGTGTGTGTGCGCACGTGTGTGTGTGTGTATGTGTGTGCGCGCGCGCGTGTGTGTTCATTTGTTAAGAATTATATCTCATGTAAATGAATATGAAAAATAACACTATTATCTGAACTGTAGAAAAATAAATCATCGCCATCTAGGCATCTTCATCACCATAGGCAACATTACCACCGTAATCATCGTCGTCCTCATCATCATTGTCTATGAAGAAATGTTTCAGATCATCATCGTCGTCATCATCGTCGTCGTCGTATTTATCATCATCATCGTTGACGTCACGGCCAGTGTTTCGACTATTCGAGATCTTTGTGGAGATGGGTGGTTGTATGTGTATCCTGAATTGATTTATTGATTGATTGATTGGTTGATTGATTGGTTGATTTATTGATTGGTTGATTGATTGATGAATTAATAAATAAATAGATGAAAGAATGAATGTGGCGTATAGACGAGGTGTAATAACTGATAGGAATGAAGATAGATGGATGGGAATTAAAAAAAATTTCGTGAAAGAATTTAAGAATGAAACAAAGTGAACCAAATAAAAAGTGCTTCAATGAATGATTCGGCGAATATACAAACAAAAATAAAAAATTAAGGCTAAAATAATAATAACAGATTAAAATTAAATAATAATAAAAAAATTAAATAACATTAAAAAACAATTTAAATAGAATTTTAAAGGCATCACCTTTTACCATCGTTCCTGCCAAGAGTACCAGTCGATGAAATTTTATCGTTGAGGCTGTTGCCAGCAGCGCCAGCAAGAAGCAAACCGCTAGCAGCCGAACCAGCTGACCCACTGAAGCTGCTAACGGACGTCCGCACCCTAGTGACGTCATCGATGTAGTCAAGTGACTTGAGAAGAGCCCTGCAGAAGTCCGCGCCCATATCTTCCAAAAGTTTCGTGTTGATTTGTCGGCCCTGTTGGTGGTGGAAAGTTTAGAAGGAGATGGTAGAGAGATAAGATGGAGGTAGTGGTGAGAGATAAGATGGTGGTGGAAATTCGGATGATAATCATCTCTACTATTCATTCCCACCTTGAACATTCCCTGATCGAATCCGCAGAAAGAACTTTCCATGGTGTAACTCCTGACGACTGACATCTGCCTCCAGACGACCACACGCGCCGTACTCTCCTTAGACTTTTCCACAGTGTAGCTGCATGACGTCAAGTGGAAAGCTGGTGACATGCTGCTTAGTAGAGCTGGAAGGACCTGATGATGATGATGATGGCCATGATGATTATGATAGTTATGCGCGTTAAAAATAAAATGAAGTAATGATGATAAAACTAAATCGATCGCTTAGATTTGCAAAGCTTATAAATGTTAAACCGATGACGACGTTCATCTGATTAATGACCCTAAGTGAATATAACACTACTCCACCTTATAAGATTCATCCTCTCTCTTCCCACCACCACCACAACCACTACCACCACAGCCACTACCGCCGCCGCCGCCGCCGCCATCATCATCACCATCGAGACTGCCGTCAACAGCCGATGACGTCATCATAGTTGGATTGCCGACGTCATCAGACATCCAGGACGACAAGGGACTGCATCCGTAGAGGAAGACGTTCTTCTTGCGCGAGTGGCCGTGGTAGTCGCAGTAGACGTGCGCGGTCCTCGACATTCGCTGCTGCCTCGGTGGAAGTGAACGGATTAAAAAAAAGATATTAAATATGTCGTGAGGAGATTTATTGATGGGTCGTCATCATTTCTAAAATCATCATCGTCGTCATCTTCACCATCCCCATAGCCATCACCCTTCCATAATATACATAATCATCTCCATCTTCGTCATCATCATCTCCCCAGTCTCCATCATCAGCACCTGCAGATACAGCATGAGATGCTTGGCATGATAGATGGGTGGATGGAGGAGTAGACTTGGGGTGCTCCACTGGCGGTTCAAATCCTGCCCTGAGAGGGAACATCTGTTGCTGTGTGTATGTGTGTGTGCGTGTGTGTGTCTGTGCGTGCGAGTGTGCGTGCAATGTGTGTGTATGTGATCGGTTAGTTGGTTGATGATTGGCTAATTGGTTGGTTGATCGGTATGTTGGTTGGTGGGTTGGCTGGCTAAATTATAGGGTAAATGATTAGGTTAGTTGAAAGTTGGGTTAGTTGGTAGGCTAGTTGGCCGTTAGGTTGATCGATTGGTTGGTGGTTGGTTTGTAAAAATTCGGATGGTTAGTTGAATGAGACGAACAGTCAAATCAGCTAACAAATTAACGCATCAACCAGGTAAGCAAAACGGCCAACCAATCAATCGGACAAACAACGAATCAATCAATCAATCAATCAATCAATCAATCAATCAATCAATCAATCAATCAATCAATCAATCAATCAATCAATCAATCAATCAATCAATCAATCAATCAATCAATCAATCAATCAATCAATCAATCAATCAATCAATCAATCAATCAATCAATCAATCAATCAATCAATCAATCAATCAATCAATCAATCAATCAATCAATCAATCAATCAATCAATCAATCAATCAATCAATCAATCAAT